CCTTATGCATACAAACACAGATTCACACAATGCATCCCTTACACACAACCAGAAACACATATTACATCCCTTATACACAAATACACACTACATCACCTGCACAAACTGGTAACCCCATACACTACATACCATAAGCACACATATTAGATCCTCTACAATAACACATAACACATCCCCTACACACTCCACTCCCTGTGAGCGAACTCATGGGTGGGTGGAACTTATGAGTGGGCCTTATGGGCATACTCACTGTCAGGCCCTGGGGCCCAGACCCCAAAAAATTGAGCTGCTTCCAATTCTCCCAGAACATTGAATTTTGTGACCACAGTTGCAAACAGCCTCCAGAGATCCTGTTCTACACCAGACCAGTGGAGCCAAACTGCAGCCCATCATCATCCTCATCTGCTTGTAAGTAGGCAATCTAGTATATTATTAGTGACACTAATCTATAATGTACCTCACATTAAAGGGACACTATAGCTTAATGAAGTGGTTCTGGTGTCTATAGCTGGTCCCTGCAGGCTTTTTAATGTAAACACACACTGTGTGCAGCACTGGCGTTAGTTCATATGGGTGGGGCATTAGTTGGACTGAAACATTGATTACATGCAAAGGCACATCTGCTTAAAATAAATCTGCACTTTTGTTTATTTTGAAGCCTATGAGTGCGCTTTTTACGTTGAAGTACTTTTTAATTTTAAGTTATCTGTTCTAACTCTGTATCTGCACACTATGCTGGCGCGATGCATTATGGGGCTGGTAAATATTTTTTTTCCAGGACTGCTTTTAATTCCCAGTCCGGCCCTGCATACAGACTGCTGAATACACACACACAGACTGCTGAATACACACAGACTGTAGTGAGGGGTGCATTGTATGTGTTTGTGTTGAGGGGTGCTGTGTTTTGGGGTGGTGTGTGTGTAGGGTGCTTTGTGTGTGTGTGAGGGGTGCTGTGTGTGTGAGGGGTGTTTGTGTGTGTGTGTGTGTGTGAAGGGTGCTGTGTGTGAGGAGTGCTATGTGTGTGTGGGCAGGGTCAGACTGGCCCACCGGGATACCGGTGGGGCTGGGCAAACAGCTGGGTGTGCTGGGGGAGCTGTGCTGTCTCTGCTCCCCAGCGCGCAGCTTAATGAGACCAGGGCCAAAATATGACATAGCGCGCAAGGGCAGGGGAGCAGAGACAGCACAGCCAGCTCCCCCTGCAGCTGCCAGCACAGACAGCTGACTGCCCTGCACGACCCCCTGGCCGGTCGCCCACAGGTAGTAATAATGTGTGTCAGTGTGAGCTTGTCTGTCTGTCTGTTATGGTGTTTGTGTCAGTCTGTGTGTGTCTGTCATGGTGTGTGTCTGTCTGTGTCATGGTATATGTTTGTGTGTGTCATAGTCTGTGTCTGTCATGATGTGTGTGTCATGGGGTGTGTGTCTGTCATGGTATATGTGTGTTTCTGTCATGGTGTATGTGTTTAAAAATAGTGTTTTTATTCACCTTTTTTTTTTTTTTACGCCGTGCTGGTCTCCCCTCGACGGCTGAGATCATCAAGCTTGACGATCTCAGCCAATCCAATGCTTTGCCATAGGATTGGCTGCAAAACGCTACACCAATCAGCATATCCTCGTAGAGATGCATTGAATCTTTATGGGGAACGATCAGCGCCTCCAGAGTGTGGAGACCCTGAATATAGGTGCAGCACTGACACAGAAAGCACCTCTAGTGACCATCTGAGTGACTGTCACTAGAGGTGTCACTTTGAAGCAATGTAAACACTGCCTTTTCTCTGAAAAGTCAGTGTTTACATGAAAAAGCCTGCAGGGACAGGCTATAGACACCAGTACCACTACATTGAGCTGTGTGTGTGTGTGTGTGTGTGCACCTGCTAGTGAGTGAGCTAGCTTGTGTGTGTGTGTGTGTGCCTGCTCGTGAGTTAGCTTGTGTTTTTATGTCAATGAGCTTATGTATATCAGTGAGATTGTTTGTTTGTCTATGAGGCTGTGTTTCAATGAGCTTGTGTGTGTCAGTGAGATTGTCTGTGTCTGCATGTGAGTATGTTTACTGTATAATAAAACATTTTACTCTGAAAGGACCAATATTTTATATTAGAAAAAGCAATATATATATATATATATATATATATATATATATATATATATATATATATATATATATATATATATATATATATTTGTGTTAAGGGCTCATGATAGTACAGAAGATACAAACATTGATAAGTATGGGATAGTGTGAAAGAGCAAGTCGGTTGTGGTGTGCCGGAACCGACGATGAGGTAGGCCTGTAAATAAAGAGGGCCCACCAATAAGAAATGTATGAGAAAAGGAGTTAATGAAAAGGAGTGGGTGGGAGGGTGATGCAGCGCTGACCTCGAACGGTATGGAGCCAGGTAAGGGGTGTCCCTTAAGTAGGGAGAAGGTGAGTCATACGCCCCTCCCACAATTACAGGCCAAAAGGCCTTAATACTTGTGTTAAGGGCTCATGATAGTACAGAAGATACAAACACTGATAAGTATGGGATAGTGTGAAAGAGCAAGTCGGTTGTGGTGTGCCGGAACCGACGATGAGGTAGGCCTGTAAATAAAGAGGGCAAAAGTAGAAAATATACTTTATTACGAAACGAGCAGTATACATACTTCAACCAGACATATCTTGAAAGGCATTTCTAACTTCTTGTACTGGGTTAGGTATGTATCTAGAGTATGCAGAAGACTTCCAGCGCCCTAGTGATTTGATAACATGTACTGGAATGTTTGCACTGGACGCTGTGGAGGCCGCCCCTATGCGGAAGGAGTGGCCCGAGTAGTTAGCTGATTTTAGGCCTAGTTGTGTAAGTAGGGACCTGACGTGGGTCATGAAGGTGATGGTAGTGAGTACCGAACCTTGTAGACAGAAAAGTGGTTGAGATGGTGATGCTTTGAAATGCTGAGTATAGGTGTCCAGTAATGTGACGGGGCACCACATGTTGTGGGTAGGATAGTATCTAACCTCTACCGGGGGTGCGTGTTGATTGGTTTTGGAGTGATGCAGAGCTAAAATATAGTAATCCATGTGTTTCGTTAAGTGTGAATGAAGCAGAATGTGAGTGGACTGGGATGTGTTGATGGCGGTAAATTCTCTTGGTCTCAAGAAACCATAAAAAGCTACGTATATGGCGGTTTTTATAACAAGGTTTGTGTTGTTCGCAAAGGGTTTTGAATCTAGTAGGCTGGATAAATCCTTGAAGATATTGAAGTCTATAGGTAGCCTTTGCGCGGTACGTGGGGGTTCGGATCTCTGGATACCTCTCAGGATGTTTTTGATCTGGTAGGAGGACATGAAACTTGTGTTGTTTGGTTGTAATGTTAGCATGTGATGTTGTATGCCTGTCAGATATAGCTTGATTGTGTTGTGAGATAATTTAAGTTTGAGGTGGCAAAAAGAAGCAAAACCTAACAAAGATGTCATGATGAAAGGTTGTGTGACGTTGTGCAGTGACAGGAATCTTTTAAATAGAAGGAAAGCCCTGTCATATGTTCTCCGGGTATTGGTGGACAGTGCTAATTGTGCCAATGTCCTGCTATGTTGCATAATAGCTTCTAGTCCATGACTAGCTGGTGGAAAGGTGGAGTGGTCGTGGCTGTACGTGCGGCTGACGGAAGTATTTGCCGAAAAGCCTGAAAATTGAAACGAGACAAATTGTCAGCAGCCGTGTTACAAACACCTGGGACATGGACACAAAACAAGAAGAAATTGTGGCATGCAGCTAGCCAGGTGAGTTTCCTCAAGAACCTCATAATGGTCAGTGACTTGGATCGGCCTTTGTTTATGATGTGGCAGGTAGCTTGGTTGTCTGAGTGGCAACGTACTGACGAACCTGCCCATAGATG